ACCCTAGCTAGGCAAGAGAGAAACGAGCAAAGGAGGGGTTGCACTAGCAAGAATGGGGATACAAATAGCAAACCCTAGAAGGGTTGTACTCGCTATAGAGCACCCCACTACAGGCTAGAGCATAATGGGGGACACACCCCCATAGCAAGCAAAGCAGTACAAGCTCAGGGTGGATCACAATGTCACCACACATTCTGAGCACAAGTTCAAGAAGCAATAGTTTAAAGTTCACAATTATGAGCAAAGCTAGAGGTAGTCACAGAGGGCAAGTGAGGAGGAGGAGGGCTGGCGAGGGGAGAGAGGAGATAAGAGGCGACGACTGAAGCTGCAGACACACGGGCAACAGACGGCTCTGGTGCAGCTCTAGTGGCTACCGGGAGCAAGGGCCCCGGAATACAGGAGTAACAGGCTCTGCGTCTGATCAGCAGCGACAGGAGCAACGGACCCACGGGCGACAGGTGCAACCGGCTCTCTGAGCTACCGGTGGCTATCAGAACCCCGGAATACAGGCGCTGCAGACGACACGACGGCTGCCTCCACCCAACCTCCTCCAACTGTCCCACACCCCCCAACACACACCCCCTGCTGCAACCCCTAACTCCACTCCCACGTCACCCCCCTAGCACCACTCCTTCGGCTCCCCACACACCCACCCCCCTCAGCGGCAGCTGCAGCAGTGGGAGACGGAGGAGGAGGAGGAGCAGGGGACGGCTCACACTCACGGCACCCCCATACCCTCCACCCCCAAACCCTAACACAGGAACGCGGGCAGTAGCGGGGGTGGGGCGCCGGCAGAAGCTCGGGGGACGGACGAGGCGCGCGCACGGGCCTGCCGCAGGCCGGACGAGGCGCGCGCGGGCTGCCCGGGCCGCGCGCGGGCCTGGCGCAGCCTGTACGGGCCGCGCGCGGGCCTGGCGCAGGCCGTACGGGCCGCGCGCGGGCTGTACGGGCCGCGCGCGGGCCTGGCGCAGCCCATACGAGCCGCGCGCGGGCCTGGCGCAGCCCGTACGGGCCGCGCGCGGGTCCCAGGGGCGCTTCGACGGGCGACGGGGGCGTTTCGACGGGCGACGGGGGGCGCTCCGACGGGCGACAGGGGCGCTTCGACGGGCGACGGGGGGGAGCGCTTCGACGGGCGACGGGGGGCGCTTCGACGGTGGGAAACCGCCGCGCGCCTCGGGGCGCACGGCGGGCAGAAAAAAACGAACATCGCGCGCCACGGGACGCGCGACACACAGGAAGGCAGCGGAAGCAGGCGGGCCCACAGGCCAGGAGCGTAACCGCTCTGATAGCATGTCAAAATAGGAGCTAGAATCATGAGCCATAGCTAGGTAAACCCTAGCTAGGCAAGAGAGAAACAAGCAAAGGAGGGGTTGCACTAGCAAGAATGGGGATACAAATAGCAAACCCTAGAAGGGTTGTACTCGCTATAGAGCACCCCACTACAGGCGCGGGCTGGCCTGGCGCAGTCCGTACGGGCCGCGCGCGGGCCTGGCGCAGCCCGTACGGGCCGCGCGCGGGCCTGGCGCAGCCCGTACGGGCCGCGCGCAGGCTGTACGGGCCGCGCGCGGGCCCGACGTAGGTCGCGTGGGCCACGACGGGCGACGGGGGGCGACGCGCGGGTCCCCGTCGCCCGTCGCAGCGCCTCCCGGGGGCGACGCGCGGAGTGACGGGGCAGAAAGCCGCCGCGCGCCTCGGGGCGCACGGCGGGCAGAAAACCGCCGCGCGCCTCGGGGCGCACGGCGGGCAGAAAACCGCCGCACGCTCCGAGCGCGCGGCGGGATGGAAAAATCCGTCGCACGCCTCGGGGCGTGCAACACACAGAGTAGCAGTAGCAGCGGAAGCAGTAAGGTGGTGGGCCCATTGAGGTAAGCGGCAGGAACGTGCTCGCTCTAGATACCATGTCAGGAATACTAGGAGTGGGGCCTAGGCTTAGTAGCCTAGGCCCACACATAGAGTAGGTAGGTTGTGCCCTAGAGCTAGGGTTTGGGGTATACGAAGGAGAATTGGAGAAGAGAGAATGGAGGATACAAATAGCAAACCCTAGAAGGGTTGTACTCGCTATAGAGCACCCCACTACAGGCTAGAGCATAATATTCTGACAGGGGATTGTTGTAGGGCGAGGGTTGGGTTGGTAGGGTTTGACCAACTCGTCACTTTCCACATCTGAACTCTTGCTTATGCCATTCCTAGATCTAATCCATGGCTGCCAAGTAATTCCGCCAGGATACCCCATCGCTCATAAATCGCAATAGCGATCGGCCTAGATCTTGGTTGAAGGCGTGCTTTACCATTCTGGAGATTAAGACCTTTCTAACGCGTACCTGCTCATCGTTCTAGGTTACGTGAGCTGCACGCAATGTTTCGCCGAAGTCGGCGGACTTAATCTCTTGTTACGCTCTCCAGATTCGCACGCTTTTCATCAGTGGTATCAGAGCTAGTTAGGCCTGCGACATTCCCTCATTTTATCATATTTTGAATTGGTTTAAAGACCTCCAAATCTAGGGCTGGTTATGGCCCAGAAATTAGATGGTCCTCCCAGGTTCAACGGCTCGGACTTTTTGCTATGGCGGTTCCAGTTTACGCTTTGGCTAGGTATTAAAGACCTAGAGGGCGTTTTGGAGGGATCGGAGCGAAGACCTGAAGCTGATGAAGGGAAGGCATCTACTGGAGTCTCTAGCCAAGTGGGAGAAGGGGCTGGGGGAGCCTCTAGCTCATCCATAACTGAGGGAAGTGGAGGTGGATCAGCAGCACCGCGAACCGGAAGGCAACGGCTTAGTGCGGAAGAGCTTATAAAGGCAGAAGAAGCATGGGACCGCAAGGACAAGCAAGCGTTCCAGTACCTGTGTTGGGCCTTGGAAGGCCAACTAGAGCTCCTAAAGATGCTGATTGACCTGAGGGGAAGCAAGGAGCAGCTGCCCAAGCATGGAAGAGAGTTCAAGATCGACATTTGCAAAAAGGGCTGCTAAGCATACTCACCTGGAGGAAGCGGTTCTACACCATGGAACGCAACTATGGTGATGGGGAGACCATGGTGCAGTATCTCCAGAGGGTGGATGAGTATGTGAGAGCCTTAGAGGAGTTGAACTACACTGTAGATGAGAAGGAGATAATTTACACCGCACTCCAGGGGCTGGACCAAGAGGCGAACGAGGCCCTACTGCAGTACCTTCACCTTGAGCAACAGAAATGGACCAAGGCCTGGATATGGGAGGTGTTGGTCTCTGATGAGGCTTGCAAACGAGATGCTGCTAGAGGAGTTGAAGGGGGATGGGGGCATGGGATAGGGCTGCCTCCAAGAAATACCAGCAGCGGCAAGGAGGTGGGGGGAAGAAGAAGGAGCTCGACAAGTGCCTCGTCCCTGGATGGAACCGGAAGCACTTTTGGATGGAGGGTTGGAGCCGACCAGATGGGTGGAAGCCTCAAGGGTACCCAGGAGAGGCTCCACCTGTCACTAGGCCTGAGTGGGTGGAGAGGAGGATGAAGAATGGAGCATGGAACAAGAAGGGCAGCAAAGAAAAAGCGGCAGCAGCGACGGCAAACGAGGATAAGAACGGGAAGGAGGACTCATCGGGTGGTGGCTTCGCCTTCTTATCCTTGGAGATAGAGACGGCGCTTGCTGGTCGTACGTTGGCTGACCCCAATCAGCTCATTCTAGACTCTGGAGCAACCTGTGGAATGGTGCCTCGGCGCGACCTCTTCACCACCTATCACTCCCTCTCACTTATCTCCAGAAATGTGATTGTGGGGAGCGGAGATAAGCTATAAGCAATTGGCATTGGCACCATCACTGTCAAGGAGAAAGAGGGGAGGTGCTGAATGTGAAGGGTGTGCTTCATGTTCCTGAATTGGCAGCCAACCTTCTCTCATGCTCTCAACTTGCGAGGTAAGAATACATATGCACCTTCACCATGGAAGGTGGCACGATTCGCAAGGGTGGAGCAATGGTGATGGAGGCCAAGTTAGAGAAGGGTGTATACCTTGTTCCAGTTTGTGGATAAGGCACATGGTGTTGAAGCCGAGGAAGCCGCTTGTAGCACCCGTTGGAAGGACATGGAACAGGTGACGGCGGATTTGCTGCACCTAAGCATGGGGCATGTGGGGAAGCAACAGCTTGTGGAGTGTGTGAAGAAGGGGGAGCTGAAGGGTGTGGAGATCAAGGAGGGTGGTGGGCAGCCAAGCAAGTGCCCTGATTGCACTACCGGGAAGCTGCCAAGGACCTCCTTTCTAACGTCCACCTCTCGGGCCACCGCACCTCTTGAGTTGGTGCACACGGATGTGTGTGGCCCCATGCAAACTTCTGACAGAGAGAAGGGCAGCAGGTATTTCATCATCTTTCAAGATGACTACAGCCGCCTCAGTTGGGTCACCTTGGTGAAAACCAAGGATGAAGTGGCTAAGGTGTTCAAGCGTTGGATACGCTATGCGGAGAGGGAAGCCGGGGCCAAGGTGAAAATACTTAGGTCTGATCGGGGTGGGGAGTACATGGGGAAGGATCTGGAGTCTTTCCTTGAACACAAGGGCATCACCCACCAGCTTTCAGTTGCCTATACGCCGCAACAAAATGGGGCAGCAGAGCGGCTAAACCGGACCCTCATTGACCTTGCCCGAGCCATACTTGCTCATGCGCAGCTGGACCATACTTGGTGGGGGGCAGCAGTGCAATATGCCAACTGGGTTAAGAACCGGATGGGCAGCAAGGGGCTAGGGGGCAAGAGCCCATACTTCATGTGGACCAGGAAGGTGCCTAGTGTGTCCATGGCACGAGTCTGGGGGTGCATGGCGCAGTACAAAGTGCCCGACCAGCAACGGAGGAAGCTGGATCCCAAGGCACAATGGGGCATTTTCCTTGGGGTGTCGGAGAGGAGCAAAGCTTGGATGTTGTGGAGTGTGGCAGATCAGCGGGTGGTGGAAAGCCGGGATGTGGTTTTCCATGAGGGGCTGAGCTACAAGGGGTGGAAGGAGCATGGTGCTAGTACAGTTGGGAGCTCCCTCCAGGATCCCTACACCTTTTCCATTTTTGAGGGGGCATGAGAGGATCCTGGAGAGGTTGTAGAGGAGCAGCAGGAGGAACACAGAGCAGCTGCACCTCACCATGAAGATTCCCCAACTGCTGGTTCCACCCCTGACCCTAACAAACCAGCCCATGCACCGCAGCAGCCTCAAGAGCAGCAGCAATAGCAGAGCAGCAGCAGCAGCAGCAGCAGCAGCAGCAGCAGCAGCAGCAGCAGCAGCAGCAGCAGCAGCAGCAGCAGCAGCAGCAGCAGCAGCAGCAGCAGCAGCAGCAGCAGCAGCAGCAGCAGCAGCAGCAGCAGCAGCAGCAGCAGCAGCAGCAGCAGCAGCAGCAGCAGCAGCAGCAGCAGCAGCAGCAGCAGCAGCAGCAGCAGCAGCAGCAGCAGCAGCAGCAGCAGCAGCAGCAGCAGCAGCAGCAGCAGCAGCAGCAGCAGCAGCAGCAGCAGCAGCAGCAGCAGCAGCACCAGCAGCAGCACCAGCAGCAGCAGCAGCAGCAGCAGCAGCAGCAGCAGCAGCAGCAGCAGCAGCAGCAGCAGCAGCAGCAGCAGCAGCAGCAGCAGCAGCAGCAGCAGCAGCAGCAGCAGCAGCAGCAGCAGCAGCAGCAGCAGCAGCAGCAGCAGCAGCAGCAGCAGCAGCAGCAGCAGCAGCCACCACAGCAGCATACACCGCATGTTGCTGTGGGAAGGTGGCAGCATCTATTGCAGCAGTAGCTAACCAAGTCACCACGGTCCCCCATGAAGAGAGTGACTTGGAAGGAGAAACTGCATAGTTTGGAGCAGGGGGAGGCATCACCTCTGCGCCGCACCACACGCATCTCCCGGCCACCTGAAAGGTTCACACCAAGTGCACATTATGCTTGCACCAAAGGACACCCAAAGCCGACAGGTCGAGGCTGCGGCTATGGCTGCAGCTGCTGTTGCAGTCTCACCTCCAGCGTCACCACCCCCTGAACCACCCAAGTTGCGCTAGTGTTAGCGCACTCGCGCTGGCGCTGGCCCGCGGCACACACATCTGCTGGTACGCGCTGATGCAGGCGTGCTAATGCTGGCATACTGGCGCTGGCGCGCTAATGCTGGCATGGTGGTGCTTACCGCGCTCTTTCTGGTGCTCTAATGCTGGCACACGGTTGAGCTGCTGTTGTGCTGGCATTGCTGGCGCCCCGCTGTTGCTCTGCTGACGTGCTAATGATGGCGCTGGCATGCGTTGCTGGCATGCTGGCGCTGCTCGCTCTGCTGGCATGCATGCGGCGCTGTTGGTGCGCTGATGTGTTGCTGGCGCTGCTAAGGACGACACGCTGGCCAACACGGGATGCGCGAGGCAGCATGGGGTGCGCAAGGTAGGATGGGGTGTGCGAGGCAGCATGGGGCGCACCATGCACGACGGGGCACGCTAGGTAGGTTGGGGCCCATTAGACCGAACGGGGTGAGCAAGGCAGAATGGGTCGAGTTAGGCAGGACGGGATGCGCGAGGCAAGATGGGATGCGTTGGTCGAGCTAGGAGGTGCGCTAGGGGTGCCCTAGGAGGAACTCGGGTAGGCGGGAGGGAAGAAAGGAGTAAGCCTAACGATGATGACAAGGGGACTAAAAAAGAGAGTACAACAGTTATATGAGTGTCGGTACACTCCATAGAGCACCCCTATCTAGCCTATAACAATCACATACAAAGGGCCATATCTAAACATGTGTTTTGACACCTTTCACACTGTATATCCTGCTCTATCAAGGGTAGACATATATTCGACATCCCAACAACCGTGCAATACTAGGAGTGTCAATGGCGTTGGTAGACTAGGAGGAGCAACCAGGGAGTGTGGCACAAGAAGCCAGTCCAGCAAAGCATCACGCCCACTCAACAGGCGCTTTGAGCACCTTGACCAGCTCCTCCTCTGGCGAGCCTGGCTGCGGCTGCACGTTGTAGCGCCACGCTATTAGCGGCGGGGCTGCACATGTGGACGGTGGGAGGGGAGGAACGGGTGGGGACCGGATGGAAAGGGGAGATAAGGGGGGATGGTTAAGAAAGATGGGATTCAGAGAGGTTAGAGTCAGATAATAGGGAAGTTAATGCAATGAGCAAGAAAGACGACCAACACGAGATCAGTAGAGGGAGAGGATGATTGTTTCTGCTCTCCATCTAAACGGAATCCAAAAGCTCACCTGCCTGTCGACTTGGGATTACCCTGTCCCCGTGCTGCACCAGCATATCTACCTAAAACTCATCAGCACCCATCTTCCACTGCCATTCCCATCCCATCCCGAACCCTCGACAATGGACCAACCCACTAGTACCTCACAGTCGTCCCATTGTCCTCCCCACCCCCACCCCATCCCCATCCCCAACCCCATCCCCATCCCCATCCCCACCCTCATCCCCATCCCCATCCCCATCCCCATCACCATCCCCATCCCCATCTCCATCCCCATCCCCATCCCCACCCCCATCCCCACCCCCATTCCCATCCCCATCCCCAACCCCATGGCCATCTCAATGCCCCTCACAATCACCACCATCACACCATCCCTGTTATGATGCCTCCCCTCCGCCCCCTAACCTCTCACCGGACACCATAGTGCCTTCCCCCCACCCATCTCCCCCGCCCCCCTCCTTCCCCCCTCCCCCCCCTCCCCCCCTTCCGACCCCCCTCACCGGAGACCATGATGGATTCAACCCGTCCGCTGCCATCCATGCCGAACTTCACCCCGCGGTCGTACAGCAGGTTGAACTCCAGGTACCGCCCGCGCCGCACCAGCTGCCAGTGCCGCTGGTCCTCTGTGAACGCCAGGCCGCGGCGCCGCTCCACGATGGGCCAGAAGCTGTCCATGAAGCCGCGCGCCACGTCCACCGAGAACCCATGCGCGCGCTCAAAGCCCTCCTCGTCCGCACCGTCACCCGCAGCAGCAGCAGCTGCACCAGCAGTAGCGGCAGCAGGGGCGAGGGCGAGGGGGGCGGTGGGCGGGGGGATGGCGTCGAGGTCGTCAAAGAAGATGCCGCCCACCCCGCGGTGCTCCCTGCGCGCCGGCAGGTAGAAATAACTGTCGCACTGCGCCTTGGCTGCCGGGTACAGGGCTGGGTGGTAGCGCTCGCAGATGGTGCGGTAGAAGGCGTGGAACTCGCTTATGTCCGATGGGAAGAGGTCTGCGAGGAGGGGGGTTAAGAGGGGTGAGAGGAGGAGATGAGAAGGGACGAGGGGGAGAGAGGAGGGACTGAAGCAGGTGGTAGCGGACACAGACGGCGCGGTAGAATGCGTGGGATTCCCTGATATCTGATGAGACGAGATCTGCAAGGACGGGGGTGAGGGGGGTGAGGAGGAACGAGGAGGGATGAGGAGGGAGACGGGTGATAGAAGGCATAGAACTCCCTGATGTTTATCAGAGATGGGATGAGGGAAGATGGCATGGGAGGAAGTCCGAGAGGGGTGAGGTGAGGGGGTGAGGAGATGGGATGAGGAAGGACAGGAAGGGGCTGAAGGGTGGGAAGGCGGGTGAAAGGAAGGTTGTGAAAGAATGGTTGTGTGATGTGAAATGAACTGTGGACCGCTGGAGGATGCAACAGTGGCGACATGGGGGTCACATGAGCGGGTGACGGGGACTCACATGAGGGGGTGACGTGGACTCACATGAGGGGGTGACGTGGACTCACACGAGGGGGTGACGTGCACTCACATGAGGGGGTGACGCGAACTCACATGAGGGCGTGAGGTCGGCCCCTCCACCAAACCAGCCATTCTGCCCGTCCACCTGGTGGAGGCGACAGGCGGAGAGAGAGATATGGACAGGGAGATGAGGGAGAGGGAGAGAGATGGGGAGGGGGAGACAGATTGGGGAGAGGAAGAGAAATGAGGGAGAGGGAGAGGACGAGGGAGAGGGAGCGGCAGAGAGATGATGGAGAGGGAGGGAGATGGGGGAGAGGGAGAGAGATGGGGGAGAGGGAGAGAGATGGGGGAGAAGAAGAGAGATGAGGGAGAGGGAGAGGGATGGAGGAGAAGGAGAGGGCGGCCATGGTCGAGGGGCTGCGCGGCTTGCCGCTGGAGATGCCCATTTCCTTCATCAACGGATCTCATGGCGCGCCCTCGGAGCTGATCATCGACAATCTTACCTCCTCGCGAGGAGCCTAACAAGGGAACCCCATGGGCACGCTTCTGTTAACGCCCCAATCCACCCCGCGCTTAGGGCCGTCGCCGCTGCACACCAACATGTGGTCGTGCTGGCCTATGCGCACGACGTGACCCTACTCGAACTTTGCCTCTCTCACCTCCGCACTGGCCCCCCTGCGCCTCCATGACAACGCCGCCAAGTGTGCGGCATGTTCCCCTTCCACGGTCAAGCCACCGCCACTTCCGTGGGTGTGCCCTGCTCGCACGCCGCTCTCAACGTCCTGGGCAGCCCAGTGGGGTCGCCTGAGGGCAGCCCAGTGGGGTCGCCTGAGGGCAGCCCAGTGGGGTCGCCTGAGGGCAGCCCAGTGGGGTCGCCTGAGGGCAGCCCAGTGGGGTCGCCTGAGGGCAGCCCTGTGGGGTCGCCTGAGGGCAGCCCAGTGGGGTCGCCTGAGGGCAGCCCAGTGGGGTCGCCTGAGGGCAGCGTGCCCACACGGCAGCAGCTGTGGCCCCATCCGCCCTGCTCTCCACGCTGGAGCCACGGCTCTGCCTGCTCCTTCTCACCACCTGCATCAGCCGCCGCATCTCTTACCTCCTGCGCACAACCCCACCCGACCCGATTCCCTACCCTTTGCTGGCTGCGGGTCCTGGGGCGAAGGAAAGTAGAGAACATTCTTCAACTCGGCCTCCATTCTCCTGCCACAGCACTGTGACAAGCAGGTCAGGATGTGGCGTCAGGCTTGTCTCTGTTCTACCCTTGGAGGCCTGGCCATTGCAGACCCAGGTGCGGAGCGGTTTCCAGGCACCTCGCTTCAACAACAGCTGCCGCCTACCCCAGCCCCAAGTTGCGGTGCTGCTGCCCCTTTCTCCGCCGGCGACAAAAGCTGCTACCCTCTTCCGCCGAGGCTGGCGGCGGCAGAGGCGACGCTCTCCACTCCATGGAGGCAATCAGCCTCGTGGAGGCAATCAGCCTCGTGGAGGCAATCAGCCTCGTGGAGGCAATCAGCCTCGTGGAGCAGCTGCGCGAGGGAGAGGAGCACACCAACACGCAACACACACTCTCTCTCCACGTCCACGCCGCACGTTATGTGGTGCTACTGGAGGAGAGCAGGGCGCTATCCCTGAACCCATTGTCAGGCCACAAGCAACGGCTCCAGTCACTCGTTGGCCCTGCGGCACGGGACTGGCTCATGTCCATTTCCCTCTCCAGCTCCTACCGCCTTCCCGCCCCACCAGGCAGGCAGGGGGAGCAGACAAGGAAATTCCCTGCTTCACCCAGCCACTCCCTGCTTCACCCAGCCACTCCCTGCTTCGCTTCTAGGTCTGGGTCTTCATTCCCTGTGCCTCGCCTGCGTGCCTGCCTCAGTCACTCACCGACCAGCTACTCACCAGCATGAACGAACAAACGAGAAAGACGAGAAGCAGAATACTAGTCCCCTTGTTCGGGCAACACACTTCTCAATGTGTGCCACGAGGTTAGGTGAAATTACTGGATTGCTGCATGCGATTGTGCTAGCCAGCTGTTTTTTTTGAAATACCCACTCCACCCACAAGACAAGTAAACCACTTGGCGCACAGTTCCCTGTTTTCCGAGTATGCTCCCCCCCCAACATAGAATGGTTAAGATACCACACCCCAACGCAGTTCAACCGTTGCTGCATAAAAATGTTAAAACGTGTACTCGGTCGGTGACCAGGGGAAGGCCTAACCTGGAAGTAGCGGATGGCACCTGGAAGGGGAAGGTACCTGGAAGTAGCGGATGTCGGAGCGGAAGGTGGGGATGAGCGGGTGCGCGGAGTGGAAGACTAGTGACAGCGCCCCCGCAAAGTACCCCGCCCCCGCTGCCAGCTGCCGACCCTGCCGAGCACTCATGGCCTGGGGGGAGAAAGGTGGGGGGGGGAGGGGGGGGGTATGTGAGGGGAAGAAAGGGAGGAAAGGGAGTGGTCACAATTGGAATGAAGGACGAACAGCAAAGGCGGATGAAGGAAGCAACGAGGTTGTTGGGTGGCAGCAACGAGGTTGTTGGGTTATGACAGGGGGATGAGAGCAGGGCGGGCATGGGCTGAGAGCAGGGCGGGCATGGGCTGAGAGCAGGGCGGGCATGGGCTGAGAGCAGGGCGGGCATGGGCTGAGAGCAGGGCGGGCATGGGCTGAGAGCAGGGCGGGCATGGGCTGAGAGCAGGGCGGGCATGGGCTGAGAGCAGGGCGGGCATGGGCTGAGAGCAGGGCGGGCATGGGCTGAGAGCAGGGCGGGCATGGGCTGAGAGCAGGGCGGGCATGGGCTGAGAGCAGGGCGGGCATGGGCTGAGAGCAGTGCGGGCATGGGCTGAGAGCAGGGCGGGCATGGGCTGAGAGCAGGGCGGGCATGGGCTGAGAGCAGGGCGGCCATGGGCTGAGAGCAGGGCGGCCATGGGCTGAAAGCAGGGCGGGCATGGGCTGAGAGCAGGGCGGGCATGGGCTGAGAGCAGGGCGGGCATGGGCTGAGAGCAGGGCGGGCATGGGCTGAGAGCAGGGCGGGCATGGGCTGAGAGCAGGGCGGGCATGGGCTGAGAGCAGGGCGGGCATGGGCTGAGAGCAGGGCGGGCATGGGCTGAGAGCAGGGCGGGCATGGGCTGAGAGCAGGGCGGGCATGGGCTGAGAGCAGGGCGGGCATGGGCTGAGAGCAGGGCGCCTCTTCACCGCCGACGGTGACCCGTGTGCTGTCCTTGTCCATGGCGCCAGGCTACTCCAGCAGGTCAGTTCAGGCAGAGGTGGACAGTGGCAGTACAGAGAGGGCACGCAGTCGGCTTCCTTGTGAAGCCCCACCCCGCAGCCCACGCGGAGAATCAGCCTATAAGGGGACCGGATGCGATCCTGTTTCCTGGGAAGGGTTCTGCATTTGCAGGTGCTGGAGAGCTCCCATAGGCAAGACCGTGGGATGCACATCAAACAGGTGGCCTCTGAGTTGTCACAATGGACACATTGGCAACAACCTTCCACAGCACGTACATACCCTCGTGGCACTAACATTCACCTGCTGCCACCTGCTTGCCCTACAAGCCAAGGTGGAAGAAGCGATGTTCATTTGCATTGCACCTTGCTGCCAGCCGTGCCCGTGCCTCACCTTGGCGCGCGCCTCCGTCAGCTGCCCTCGCACGATGGACACATTAGCGGCGGCCTTCTCCAGCACTCGCCCGCCCTCCAGCACGCGCGTGATGCCGTACCCCGCTGAGGGATTGCCCGGGTCGCGCTCCCACCGGTCCTCTATGAACGCCCTGCCACTGCCGTCCTGCGCCGCTGACTACAGCACATGGCAGGGAGAGGGGCGGGATCACGGAGGCGCAGTGGTCAGACAAGCCTGTCAGAGAAAATGCTCCCCAGGGGAAATGTGAAACCTCATCGTGGCGTGTCCAGCCAAACCGCGTCTGTCTTCCACCATTGGCTCCAATGCAAGTTGTGCCGTCTTGTCTCCAATCAACTCCACCGGTTCCACTCGGAAGTTCTTCAGACCGCCTGGCTCGACCGCATGGTTCGACACAGAAATCCGCGTGACTCGGGCGGGCCACGTGACTGAAGCACATTGCAGCCCTCTCTCACCCTAATCCGCTGCATCCCTCCACCTCCCCCACTCCCCCCTCCCCTCCTCTCTCAATTTGAATCATCCCCGGCCTGGTGTAGCTGATAACACCTAGAGTTCCTCTCGTCTCTCGGGTCCAGACCAGAATTCGCGCTGTCAGTGAGATTCCAACTGTTGTGTGCGCTCAGGTTGAAGGAGCAGTGCAGACGGGGCCGATGGAACAAACACTGGCTGTCGGCGCCATCGCATCTCACCTCGTCACCACACCTCACCTCATCACCTCATCTCACCACACCTCACCTCATCACCTCATCTCACCGCACCTCACCTCATCACCTCATCTCACCGCACCTCACCGCACCTCAACGCACCTCGTGACAGATAGAGGCCTGCAGGTCCAGCAGCAGCTGCTCGAAGCCGCTCTGCGAGAATGGAGCCGCGGCTGCAGCTTCGGCTGACGGCGCTCAGGGGGGAGGGGAAGGGGACGCGATGGGGGGACGCCGGGGAGGGTGAGGTGTGGGGGTGGGGGAACAGAGCGGAGGTGCAAGCGACTTGCCAGCAGCACTGGCGCTGCTGGGAAGGCAGTGGGCGCAGGGGAAAGGGGAATGGCAGCACGGCGTGGCACAAGTGGGTGGAGTGGAGATGGTGCGGTCGCGTGCGAGGAGCGGGCGGGGGAATGAGGAGCGGCGGCGGGCGGAGGGCGCACGGAGAGGTGGGGGGAAAGGGTTGCGGGACAGGAGCGAGAGGAGGGCTTATTACGAGGCAAGCGCGCGGGAGGAAAATCCAAAGGGTCGCTCATATCTGCAGGGCACGTCACTCACCTGCCACGTCGCGCTGCTCTACGCTCGCACGTGGCAGCAGTCGGCGCGGCTACATGCACCGCCGCACGGCGCCGGAGGCGGACCGTGCGGCGCCCATCGCGGAAACATCGCACCGCAGTTGAACGTGGCGCACGCCGCCGTTAGTCGGCGACCGCAATGCGATGATCCTTGCGACGGTGTGCGACTGCGCGGGCGAGTGCGAAGCGAGACCAGTCACGGTCACCGCAGCACTCGCCGCTGCCGCTGCTGCTGCGACCATCGGAGGCTGTGATTGGTCAGACCAGGTGCGATGAAGGACCTAATAGTGGTGCGAGTCGTATACGGCACAACGGCACGTCGAACTCGTGACACTTCTTACCTTGGGCCGTAGAAGATGCGGAAGTAGGGTGGAGGGCGTGTACATTCGTCGGTGTCACGGGTTCGTCGTGACCCGAAATTTGGAAACCAGCCGCTTGTCGCACACGCATCTGGTTTCCAGATGTTTCAAGGACACGAAAGAAAGTGCGCCCTGGTGGGGTGCGCCTTGTGTACTGTAGTTTCAACAGCCAAATCGCGATGGCGAAAATAAGTGACGAAAAAGATGGAGATTTCGCAAAAACCGGAAGAGGGAACAAAACGATTTCAAGTGCCAGCCGGGAATCGAACCGGGGTCTGCACCGAGCAGATGGCAGGGTGCTATTCTACCACTGGCACATTGAACACGCCCTTGGTGATCACTATTTAATAACTATCAGATTTTAAGGGCAGCTAGTCAGTTCCAAGCAGACGCCGCTAAGCTCAACACCTCCAGGTGCAAATTCGATATAATTCGGAAGGTGGGGGAGCCTAGAGGCAGGTTCTAGCTACCCGCACTCGCTGCCATGCGTGGGCGACCAGCGAGAGCGTTGTACTAGGCATCAAGAGGAGCGCGTAGCGCGATGAAGATCAGTTAGAGCGTGAACGCGCCGAAGAGCGGCATCGAAGCGCTGAGAGCATTAGCGACGCGTAGCGGCGAGAGGACGCGAGCGGGGTCGGAGCGGAGACAAGCGAACAGCGAGGGCGGGGCGCGGGGCGGGACGGCATGCCCGTGTGACGCTAGGAGACTAGAAGAGTCTGAGCGGCATCGTGACAAACGAGACTAGATAAAGGGCGGTGTAGAGGCGGACAGTGAAAAGGGGAAGTTGGGGGAGGCCCGGGAGGGGCGGCATGCCCCGTCTGTTTGTGGAGGGCTTCTTCCTGTCGTGGCTCGACAGCTACGAGGACGTGCAGAACGCCGCGCTCACGCTGCTCTACCTGCAGGTAACCTGGTAACCCGCTCCCGTTACAGGAGGGTTCCATTCCACGTTATTAGCACGATTGAGGAGGCACGATCATGGTAAGCCGCTGTAGGAAGAGAGCTCCTCCACTTGCTGCAGATCAACCAGTTGCTCCTACGCTTCCCCCCTCCCCTCTCCGTTTTCGCCCTCCCCTCACCGTTTTCGTCCTCCCCTCACCGTTTTCGTCCTCCCCTCACCGTTTTCTCCCTTCCCCTTCCCTCCCCTTCCCCCCACCTTCCCCCGCATCCCCCTCACTCCCCCCTCCCCTGGTGCCCTCCCTCTCCCCGTCCCACGTGCTGTCACTCTGCCTTCCACGTCCGCCCTCGCCGTCTCCTCGCCACCACGCCACACGCCTCTGGTCGTCCTTCATTCATTCCGCCACCCGCACTCCGCGTCCGACCTCCCTGTGGAATGGATGTGCGCGGCAGCACGTGTGCGAGCACGGGCTTACACACACGCACACACACACACACACACACACACGCACGCACATGGCCGTGCCGCATCACACACGCACACACGCACGCACATGGCCGTGCCGCATCACACCATCAGCCCCTCCTTGCCCCCCTCCTTGCGCTTAGGGCTACTGGGTGTGGTGGGTCACGTCACACAGGGTCGCCCATGGGGTCGCCCACAGGGTCGCCCACAGGGTCGCCCACAGGGTCGCCCACAGGGTCGCCCACAGGTGGTCACACACCCTTCACTCTCCGTCCTTGCCCCCCTTTCCTCACACGTTCACGGCGCTACTGGGCATGCTGGGTCACACCTCACCCACCTACATGGGGGCTCACACACCCATCAGCCTTCCTGTTCTCTGCCGTGGCGTGGCACACTCTTCACCCTGCACCCTCCCCCCACTCCCCCACTCTCCCCCCTCCTCCCCCCCCCTTCCCCCCGTGCCACCCTCCCCCATGTGCATGCATTCGGTCAAGGGCTACTGGGCACGGTGGGGCCCTTATGTGCACCCATGCCTCCCCCTCCTTTGCCTCCCTGCATTCGTTCATACGGCTACTGGCCACGGTGGATGGGTGGGCCCCACATACACATGCACGGGGGTAAGAGTGCCAGACCCTTTACTCTTCCTATTCCTCCCCTGTCCCCCCCCCCGTCCCTCCGTTTCAGGCGTGCATAGGGCTACTGGACACAGCAGGCCCCACGTACACGGGGGTGATCGTGGCAACCCCTTTAGCAGCCCCCCTCCGTTGCCCCCATCGCCTGCAGGTGTTCATCGGCCTGGTAGGCACGGTGGGCCCCACGTACATGGGGGTAGTCGTTGCAAGCCCTACATTCTCTCCCCTCATCTCCCCCTCCTCGCCACCCGCTCTCCCCTGCAGGCGTTCATAGGGCTACTGGGCACGGTGGGCCCCACGTACACGGGGGTGATAGTGGCGGACGTGGGCGTGGCGCTGTTCGGCCTGGTGGCCGTGGCCAGCGGCTATCAGGCGCTGGGCCGCACATATGCCGCGCTGCTCGCCCTCATGCTGCTGCTTGACAGCCTCTGGCTCGCCCTCTTCGCCCCCCACATCTGGTGCCCTCTTCGCCCCCCTCTCACATGCATCACCACCTTCCTCACATGCATGGCCGCCTTCCTCACATGCATGGCCGCCTTCCTCACATGCATGGCCGCCTTCCTCACATGCATGGCCGCCTTCCTCACATGCATGGCCACTTTCCTCTCTCAATCTACCCGCCCCCGAGCTCTCCCCCTCATGTGCCCTGTGCATGCCTGCCTCCTGATTATCCTGTTCCTGCCCTCTCTCCCTCACCTCTCCCTCCTTTCCCTCTGCCAAACCCCACTCCACCGCACGGCACCGCACCAGGAGCATGGAGCTGACGGCGCCCTGGAGGCAGCACCCGCTGGTGGCGGCAGCAGTGCTTCTGGAGCTCACGTGCCACTCGCTCACCTTCGCCCTGCGCCTCCTCTCCGCCCTGCTCTGGCTTCAGGTCACTCCTCTTCTTCCTTCAGCTGCTCGTGCTGTTGCTTTCAGGGGATTACTGTTGTGGCCTGAGATGTGCTTCCTTCCCGTGCCTCGTTCGTCACGGCAGCACTCGCAGCACCATGCACCCGCTGGCATGTCATGCCGCTTCTCGTCTCAACCCACCACCACTGTGCCCCACCACCACTGTGCCCCACCTCACATGGCCGATGAAACCCATCCCAATTTTCCAAAGGAATTGCTCTGTGGAAGGCGCAGGGCTCTTGGGCCAAAGGTTGGTCGCTTGGGGTTGGGGTCATCCGAGAGGCCCCTTGTGATTGGTCCCGCCCCGTCCCTGCTTCAACCCCCCCCTGGTAGATGCTGCGCCTGGGCCTGGCGGACGGCAGGGGCGGCACGGCCGTGCCCAGCTCCGAGGTGCACGCTTACCTCCCTGCCTACGACAGCCTCGGCCCGTACCACGCCGCAGCCTCGGTAACGCCGGACCTGAGTCCCACGGCGGGGCGGGAGCGGGCGGTGAGCGATGAGTTCCTGGGCAGCTCCATCTTCCACCCATCGGCCTTTGCCACTCTCTTCCAGTCCGACCACCTGCTTAACTACCTCTCTGAGGTGCGCCCACCTGCTCAACTACCTCTCTGAGGTGCGCCCACCTGCTGAGGTGCGCCCACCTGCTGAGGTGCGCCCACCTGCTGAGGTGCGCCCACCTGCTGAGGTGCGCCCACCTGCTGAGGTGCGCCCAGCTGCTGAGGTGCGCCCACCTGCTGAGGTGCGCCCACCTGCTGAGGTGCGCCCAGCTGCTGAGGTGCGCC